TTTCACCGTTGTCGTGACTCTTTACCTCGACTTGGTACACGATAGCCTGGGTCAGATATTTCTTCTGGAGGGGGCATTCATCTTTCTTGCGGCAGTTACAGTTAATTTCTTTTGTTGCGGAAATGGTTGTCTTGACATTCTTAATGCAGCTGTAACTAATTTTTGCGGTTAAAGATCTTATGTGGACGGCTAGATTTAGGGAAATGTTTGTCGATAAGTTGAAGAAAGTTTTACCAATGTTTTTCACTGCGTTTTTGCTGTAAGGTGGGTTAAACCATACTACGGGCCTTCAAATTATACATGAATTGATCAATCAGTTTGTCTCTTGTGTCGTTATAATAAGGACGTTCTACTGTTTCGAAATATGAAAGACTATGACTATGCGCGCGCGCAAGGATTGTTGACTATTGGTGACTATGCGCGCGCGCAAGGATTGTTGATGTTGGTTTCACGCGCGCAGACCACATTTCCCGCAAAAATTGTTTCTGGTGCACGCACTTCGAGAAGATTTCCGATCTTTCATTGAGTAGATTTTCGTCGCGAGATTTTAAAATCAGCAGCTTCTCTTGCTAGCATAGGTTGCATCTTTGTCTTCCACTTGTGTATGGGTCAGCCTTCTTAAGAATGGACCAAGCGGTGTTGTAAGGTCTTCCGCTTCTCTTCAATTTCCAAATATGCTTCGATAGCTCCGTTTCGTTTGCGTATCTCTGAAGCCGGAATGATTTTTTATGGTTTCTGTACCTGTCTTTGAATTCCCCAGCTGTTACCCCAGTGTACCGCTTCGTTTCACCGTTGTCGTGACTCTTTACCTCGACTTGGTACACGATAGCCTGGGTCAGATATTTCTTCTGGAGGGGGCATTCATCTTTCTTGCGGCAGTTACAGTTAATTTCTTTTGTTGCGGAAATGGTTGTCTTGACATTCATAATGCAGCTGTAACTAATTTTTGCGGTTAAAGATCTTATGTGGACGGCTAGATTTAGGGAAATGTTTGTCGATAAGTTGAAGAAAGGTTTACCAATGTTTTTCACTGCGTTTTTGCTGTAAGGTGGGTTAAACCATACTACGGGCCTTCAAATTATACATGAATTGATCAATCAGTTTGTCTCTTGTGTCGTTATAATAAGGACGTTCTACTGTTTCGAAATATGAAAGATCTTATATATGCATGACAGCACCCGTAAAGGATTCACATTTAAATATCTAGTCATGACCGTCTTTTAAAATTGAAACAAGTCCTAAAGTCAATATTTGGGTAGGAAATCTTGTCCTTGAGATTTTCTCTACCAGTTTTTATCTCATTTAATATTCAAACACATCTCAATTCTCAAAACGAATGAAGCGATAACAAGTCCTAAAGTCAATATTTAGGTAGGAAATCTTGTCCTTGAGATTTTCTCTACCAGTTTTTATCTCATTTCATATTCAAACACATCTCAATTCTCAAAACGAATGAAGCGATAAATGCAACAAGAAATTAATTAGCTGCCAATATGTTTGTCAGAACCTGCGAAACCTTTTTAGCATTTATGATCCCAAGGCTTAAAATATTTCAGTTCAGATGCAATCAGTATTTAGAGTTGAGGAGTTTCTTTTTTAGTAAACTTTACCTAATTGATCCTTTTCAAATATTTGACGAAATCTAACTTTTAATCAATATGGCACAGTTTAATTTTGTGGCCGTGTGTCTGATAATTATTGTCTTGTTGAAAATATCTACATCATTCACTGAAGGGCTTGTGTTAAAATCAGAAGCAGATAATGCTAGATATACATCCCCTCGTCAGGACGTTGCTTCAGAGTCTACATTACCAACTAATGCACAGACAAGAGCAGTTACTGGAAAGGTCGGAGCGTTTGTTGGCGGAAAGATGTTCGATTATTTCTTGACGAGGTTTGTTACAACTGTTTATGATGTACTTACTATGCTATATAAGCTTCAACAGAGCAAACTGTTACAAAATGATCTACATTCTAATTACCCTAAGATTTAATTTTTTAGGAACTTTATATGGCTAACTTTATTAACATTGCAGAAGTATAATAACAAATTTTAGAAAGACTACATATAATAACATGGAAGGAAAATAGGCAAAATAAGTGAAGCGAGATAAATGCGAATGGGACACTGCATGGATCCCATGCCGGCCACGTCCTGAAAATAATTACAATTAAGAGGCAGTCCGCGTGTAAAAACGAACTACTCGAATTTCGTAAATTATAGAATTCTTCTATACTTTCTGTGTGGAAGAAGTCATTCATAAAATGAACAAAAAACCTTGACTTTGGAATTGTAGTCAGTTTTTAGATTTTTCGCCATTATTTTCCCGGCGAGTTTGAAAACAAGTTAATTAACGGAGGTAGTAAAACGTTAATTACGCAAGTAATATTTGAGCTTTTTTATATCTCAGTTTCATCTCGCGCTTTTATTTTAATTTCTTGAAACTTTTGAATATTCTTGAATATTTTGTTATTTCCTGCCTACATATAGCAATTAATCTAAACTAAAAATTATCCTGATCACTTGAAGAAACAAAATATTATGATTTTTTAAAAACGTCTTAAGGTTACAGGACACCCTTTTTGGCGTTTTGTGCGGTTGAACCATACGAACGGTTGAACCATAAATAAGTATTCATATTGGCGTAATAATAAAGTTATATATAACATCAACACAGGACAATATATTTATTTCATATAATACTTTTACGGGGGCAACAATAGTTACTACATTTGGCACCTTCGACGCGATAGAACGAGATATAGCTTGAAACACAGCAAAGATACGCTATCTTCGGTGATGGAGAACCCTGAATCTAAATTAAAGTAATTACAACTGCACATGACCGTGAGTAGAACTGAGAAAATACTTCAGACAGAGAGCCAACACCCTATAGCACGTCAACAAACGGCACTTGAGACAATAACAACCGAGATAGAATTACTGAAGGGAGAAGTCGAAGCGAAGAAAATTACAGACAATTAAAGAAGATCCTGACGAGATAGAGAAATTGATTGGGGAAATTGAAGTACAGCTAACGAAGGCAGACGACGAAGTTAAGAGACTACAACAATGGCAAGATCAAATCACAAAAGAAGGGAAACAACGCGAGCGAGAAGCGGAACAATTACACCACGAACGCGAACTTTTATGGCGTCAAATCTCCGCCAAAATTCATGGTCGTATTTTCAACATTAATGTTTGTATTTTCAACACCAATGTTTGTATTTTCAACATCATTGTTCGCATTTTCAACATCTTTTTTCGCATATTCAACGTCAATGTTCGCATTTTCAACATCAACGTTTGTGTATTTTCATTACTAACTTGAATTTTGGCGGATAGCATGGCGTAAATCTCCGCCAAAATTCATGTTCGCATTTTCGACATCAATGTTTGTATTTTTAACATCAATGTTCGCATTTTCAACATCAATGTTTGTATTTTCAACATCAATGTTCGCATTTTCAACGTCAATGTTCGCATTTTCATTCTCGACTGTGAAATCAATATGAATCCTATTCCAAATGAATTAGGCTCTGCTCGAACAACTCTGCTCCAACTTGCAGAAAGACTAAATACTTTGCAAAGGAAAGTTCAACATAGAGTTAAGCTGTTTGTCTTGATCAATAATTCTTCATCAATAATTCATTATAAATGTTTCCATCCTGAGAGAACAAAAATAATATGCTAATTCTCTTCGAAATATGACGTAAGTTCAATCTGGAAACAGCATTTTTCTCCCATTAGCATTACCCGCCTGGAAAAATTGACTTGAGAATTGAAAAATTGAAAATTGAGATATGATGACCCTAATACATGTTGGATTGTTTGGAAATCTATTTTTCACGAAATCCTAAACAAGCATGCACCCCTTCGATATAGAAGAACTAAAGCTA